GCACTGTGGGCCCTATTCTGAGTACAGGTGAGAAGTCCTAGGAAGTGGCTGGGTCTGGAGTCTACGCAGACAGGTGGGTGCCCCAGCCTGGGGCGCGCCAACCCAGTTGCAGTCACTGTGATTGCTTACAGCAGAACTAGTTAGGATTTTCTACCAACAGTAAACCGAACCCAAGCTGTTGCCAAGTTTATGAGCCTTTCACCCCTTACTACTGGGCTCCTGACCTCAAGAGGGCAGGCTGAGGGTGGGGTGGGGGAGGAGGGGCTTGGCTGTCCCATCGTCCCCACCATCCCCAGCCTGGGTCTGGACTGAGAGCTGCTCTGGACCCCTGTTCCCATCCCCAGGCGTGGCTTTTGGCTTCCAGGAGGCTGTCACTCCCCCGATTCACTGGCCTCTGCTTAGTGCTCTGCACTCCCCTGAGGATGGGTACCTGGGGTGCCACCTGGGAGACATGGACCAACATCTGGTCTGGGTTCCAGGAGCCTGAAGCCACACTGTTGAGGCAATTAGGAAGTGAAATGGCAGGGGTTCCTCTATGCTCCCAACCCTTTCCCACGGAGGCCCTGAGCACCTGTAGAGGGAGCAGAGCCGGGCTGTTGCAGGGCTGCTGCTTCTGCCCCAACAACTGTCTCTAGCGTCATCTCTGCCCTGAACGTTGCCCTTTCTCCAGTGGGCGCTACTGAGTGAACCCTGGTGGGGGCTTCTGTGTGCCACCGCCTTCCTCTGAGGAAAGGTCCTTAGTTGGGCCAAGGGCAGGGCTGAGCTTGGGGTGGAGAGGAGTGAGGGGAGCTGGTATGTAGGGGATGCTGTTTTCCCTGCCTCTGCCTTGGCAGACTTCGACTTTTTTTATTTTCCTAATATATTTTTATTAATTTTGGAAAGGGAGGGAGAGACAGAAACATCAATGATGAGAGAGAATCATTGATTGGCTGCCTCCTGCATACCCCTAACTGGGGATTGAGCCCCAACCCAGGCATGTGCCCTGACTGGGAATCGAACCATGACCTGGTTCACAGGTCGATGCTCAACCACTGAGCCACTCCGGCTGGGCGGGGTCTCTTTTTATGTAGGTATTTATTACAAGTGGCCTTGTGTCAGACACACCATTACACACACGTGCACACTTGGCTCCCCACCTGGACACACCAATGGCCTTTCAGTGTGGAGAGGACGAGAGTGTCCCTAGGTGTGAAGTTTGCACTGACAGGTTGGGGCCCAGGATCCTCTGGAGGCCCCCGCAGAGGTCTTGAATAGATTTATATGCCTAAGAACTCCCTTTCAGTTCCTCCCTGGTCCTGGAGCCCTCCCAGGGGACTTTCTCCCGTCTCTCCTGGGGGCGGGGGAAGGGAAGGCCTTTCAGATGCCTTAGAGGCCTCCAGGGAGAGTCCCATTCGGCCCCCAGCCCCACGCAGCGCTCCCACCTCACAAGCTTGCTGCCTTCCTGCACTTGCAGCCGCCAGCACCACCCGGGTCCTCTGGAGCCAGTTCCACTCCCGATGTGATTACAATGGAAAGAACAGGGAGAAGGGCAGGCCTGGTGCCCAGGGAAGAGTCCGGAACATGGGTGAACCGCCTCTCCTCAGCTCCGTTCACCTCCCTACATCCTGAGGCTGGTCCAGAGTTAAAACTTGTGTCAGCCAGTCGCCCCTCGGGCCTGCACAGATACCTCATCCGCCCGCTGCCCGTGCCCCTCTCCGTCCCCAGCAGTGGGGGCTCTGAATCTAGTGCCGAATGACTATGTCCAGACTGGTGACGATGGGTGTTGCTGTTCTTGTTGTTTGTGAATGCTGTGACTCTGTGCCCGAGAGGGCAGCCGCCCAGCCCTTCGGGCATCTCCCTTCTGAGAGCTATCAGGACCACATCTGTCCTCACCCTGTGGGACCGCCTGCCCTGCCCCTCCCCTCCCCTCCCTAGCCCTTCCAGCCTGGGGGACGTGCGCACACACACATCTTACCTCTCATGCGTGTTTTACTTTTTGATGTTCAGAGTGGCTCACTGGCTGGGAATCTTTACCTCGGGGAGAGGGGGAGGTTGGTTCCTTGGGGGGGCCAAAGAAGGGCAGGGAATGCCTGGAGGGAAACGGGGGCGGGGGTCACCAGAACCCCTGCTCTCTCCAGGAACAGCTGCTGCTCCCCCATCCCAGGATCCCACCCCCATCCCCCAAAGAGGTGGCCCTTGTTTACAGTGAGGACTCGGTCACTGTGTCTCTGTTTCCTGAAATATAAATCGTAGTGACCCCAGACTGTAGAGATTTTTATGTGTTTGGATACATCTGCTGTGTGGGAAAAAAATTACAAAAAACCCTACTTTTGTACATATTGTATTTTTACTATTGAACTGTATTCTAGTGGCTGTTCATGCTCCAAGACTTTAGGTATTGAGACATGAATACTATCCATGTAATAAGCACTTGCCTGGAATAAAATATAAAATTGAAATAAACCTGCACTGAAACCAGAGATGGAGCTGCCAGCCGCAGCATCTGGGTCCTTTTGTGGCAAAAGGAGGCAGAGACCTCCAGCAAGAAGCAGCAGGTCCCTTTCCCTGTTGGTGTTTGGGGGGTGGTCCTCAAGCAGCTTCGGTGCTGGTCAATTTTAGAAGAAGGTTAGAGACCTTCCCGTTCTGATCCCGGTGTCGAATCATCAACAAGCTCCCAGAACTGCAGTTCTGGTCTTCCTTATGCTTTTACAGTACTTCCTCAAACCATTTTACAAACACTATCTTGTTTTATCTCATAACAACAGTGAAGTAAAGCCAAGAACTAGCCCCATTCTGGCAGAAAAAGTAACAGGTTTGAGATGGCTAAGTGACGTTAGAGACACAGCCAGCCTGGGACCTTGTGTAGCTTCAGGCAGACCTCGACTCGTGCAGGATTCTCCCTGAGCAGTGCCAGCCCGCCCTGGGGCCTGCTGTACAACTGGGGGATCTTAACTCATGAAAGTTGCAATGGAAAAGAAGGTGAGGAGGGGAAGCATTCATGGGGTAGAGGTTAGGACAGGTCAACTGGGAGTCCATGTGGCTGTCCTTTCAGGGGAGGGAACAAGAAGAGGAAGAGGTTAAAACCATGTTCTAAGGTGGCCTGCAAACCAGGTTTTGGAAAATCTTTGTCCCTGTAACTACATCTTCCCAGTTTAGGGGAAACCGGCCCTTTGGCAGGCTGTCTCAGGAAGAAGTGGGGAGGTGAGGGAGCAATTAGCCGGGTCTAACTATAGACCAGGCAGGCTGCTTCATCCTGCCTTGCTTAACTCCCTGACACCTGCCCCACTCCCAGCCCCAGCCTGGGGTACTGACTCAGTTCTCTTTGGAGGGTGAGTCCAGGGATGTAGGGCGTGTGTGTGTGTGTGTGTGTGTGTGTGTGTGTGTGTGTGTGTGATGTCATCCTCAGGGAAGGTAGTGGTGGCCACTAATGTATTGGGGTTCCATTATTTGAAGAAAAGGCAGCCTCAAAAGGCCAGACAGTGCTCCACAATTCCTCCAGCCCTTTTCACTTGTGAGATGCTGGCTCCCTCTACTGGTAGCTCCAGGGAGAGATGGGTGCCTTCAATTAAGGCAGCAGTTCTCAACCCGTGGGTTGCGACCCCTTTGGCGGTCAAACGACCCTTTCACAGGGGTCGCCTAAGACCATCCTGCATATCAGATATTTACATTACGATTCAGAACAGTAGCAACATTACAGTTATGAAGTAGCAACGAAAATAATGTTATGGTTGGGTCACAACATGAGGAACTGTATTTAAAGGGCCAGAAGGTTGAGAACCACTGACAGGGAAGGCCAACCCTTAAACTTAATCATTTCCTGCGCGCCCTCTCAGTGTCAGACACCATGCCCAGCACTGGGACAGAGATGAAGACTGCCCCTGGTAATGATGACCCAGTATCATCTGAGAGCTATCACTATATCATAAGGGTCGGCAGAAACTCCCCTCCCTGCACTCAAAGCACAGACTCCCACCCCAGCTCAGCTGGAGCCTGCAAGAGAGGGGCCTATGGCCAGGGCAACGGGAAACAAAAATCCCAAGTAAGAATCCAGGAGCTTCCATTTAGCAGCTCTGCTCACTCTGTGAAAGAGGAAGTCTTACTTACAGAGTTGGAGGGATGATGTTTGCTCTCCTCACACTCCCTGCTCCTCCTATCCACACACGCATTCCCTTCAGCTGACCCAACCTTCTAGTTCCAGAAGCCCATTCAGGGCTTAGTGAGGGGCCCTTTCCACGCCTCAGCAGGTTTGACTTCTCTTGAGGCTCCCCCTAAGTTTGAAGCAGACGTCTCAAAGACAGTGCTCAGTGAGCGGGGTCTTTCCCCATTGGCTGGAGGGGCTGGGAGGCCCCAGCTTATCATTATAGCTATTAGGGAGGCCAGGCTGCGGAAGGCGTGGGACAAGGACCTACACTAATCCAGGGGAGCAGAGGCCATTGGTCAGTCTGAGATGGGACGCTGGCTCTAAGGGTTCTCCTTGGGTCTACCTATTATCCCCACCCCAACCAGCCCATCGCCGAGGTCCCCCTCTTTTGGAAAATTTGGTTCTCTCTTTCCGCCATCCTTGCCTCATGGGGTTGGCCTTCTTTACTGTTCTGTTGTGGAGATGATAGAATTCCCGCACACAGTCACTCGCTGTCCAGCACCAGCCCACAAGCAGCCCCCAGAGCCTCGAGCATTGCCAAATGCTGTGTTTATTGGTTTCTTACACTGAAGAGTATAGTTTCTGAGCCAAAAATCATACACACTCTGCTCCTCACAAACCACTGAGTCACTAAGGCAGGCACACAATGGCCACCGTGCTTGGTGGAGGCTGAGGACTCACAGACAAGAGTGGGCAATGGGGCGGGCTGGCCCCCAAACAGGCCGTGCAGTGCCTGGGACAGGGGTGGGCTGGGAGGGGCGGGGGCTGTGCTGGATGCAGAAAAGCTGCTGGGTCCTTTTCTGTTTCTCAAATGCAGGAA